GGTTGTTTTCGAGTTTAGCTGGTTTTGATTTCGCGCATGCGCTACACAGGAACCAACGGTACCATGAGTACTAAATTCCGGCGAGCAACTTTTCACGTTGGTACCTAGGCACCCTGAAAATTTCAAGGTGATACCTGCATTCGTTCAAGTCGTTTGTTCTTGTCACCTGCCTTTCGTCGTTTTTTTTTTCTAAGTCAATTTACGGCTTCCATGAGGGGAAAAAAGTGGAATTTCGCCGTGACACCGGCACCGGTTGTCCGAAAACCATGAAATTTGGACACAATACGCCCATTACCACCCCGGACTCTGTGCTTTACCCCCATTTTGATCCCATTAAAAAAAAAGAGTTTTAGCAAAAAAACGATTTTCGGAATTTAATATTGGTTTTAACCCTGTAATACCCAGACATGATATATTATTATAATCCCTATGAAATATTTTAATTATTTACTGCTATAATATGAATTATCACTTATTCCCCGTTAAATAAATATCGGTCACCTGGTGCTGCTGTACAACTTAAAGGACACTGGCCTCAAGTCAATTTACGGAGAGAGAGAGAGAGAGAAATGGGGTTTAACGTCCACTCGACACAAACTAGGTCATTTCGGGACCAACATATGGTTTAATTTTATTTCAATAATTCGCTTGCGCGTAGGGGTCTTTAGCAGTGGGAGGAAACCGGAGGACCCGGAGAAAACCCACAAGGTTGGACAGGCGATCCTACTCCTTGCGTCAATTTACGGCTTCCATGAGGGGAAAAAAGTGGAATTTCGCCGTGACACCGGCACCGATTGTCCGAAAACCATGAAATTAGGACACAATACCCCCATTACCACCCCTGACTCTGTGCTTTACCCCCATTTTGATCACATTAAAAAGAAAAGAGTTTTAGCAAAAAAACGATTTTCGGAATTTAATATTGGTTTTAATTAATTTTGAAATTGGAAATACAAAGAGATTTTATCGCCTCTTCCGTATGTGATAGGTATTGGTACTATACACATTATCCTTAAAAGACAATTTTTTAAAATGACCGTAACGATGCATCGACACTAGAAACCGAAATCGCCTATTTTGACCTATTTTGACTGCTGGGGTATCTTTCCGTACGTGACAAGGAGTAGGTCGCCCGTCCAACCTGTGTATTTTTTCAGGATCACCCGGTTTCCCCCCACTGCTAGACCCCTACGCGCAAGCGAATTATTGAAATAAAATTGAACCATACGTTAGTCCCGAAATGACCTAGTTTGTGTCGAGTGGTCGATCAACCCCATTTCGCTCTCTCAATTTTAGCACTCCTAACTCTAAAACTAAATGCAAGGAACGGGCCTATTTACAGAGGTCACAATTTTAACCTACATGCACACCTACATGATATACATATTTTTTAATCCCTATGGGATATTTTAATTATTTACTGTTATAATGTGAATTATCACTTATTCCCCGTTAAATAAATATCGGTCACCGGGTGCAGCTGTACAACTTCAAGGACCTTGGCCTCAAGTGCATGGAACCAACTCTACATTTTCTGAAATGTCAATAAAAGCCCTGGAATGATTTCATTTAAAAAAAATAATCAGAAAGTAAATCTAGTTTTATTTATATGCTATTTGTTGCCAGAAAATATATTTTGTTACGAGTCTAATTCAAATTTAAAAATAAACAATGGGTCTGAGGCATATTTTATTGATATATAGAAATTAATGCAGTGTTCTCATTATGTGATAAAAGAGTGCCAGAAATGTCTCGAAATTCAGCCATTTGTGTATTTAGTATATCAAGTATATGCGTGTATTACAAAGCTCTGATTTGTGTGATTTGTGTACACCCCGCTCCCCCCCCCCTCCTCGTGTCACTATCATGTACATATCAATTCTGCTGCCAACCCACCCACGCGAACATGACTAAATTATGAAACATTGTCTAGTCGTTTGTATGTTACGACAAAACGAGGCCAGCGTGGCTCATTTGCTGCAGAACGGAAGGCCTTGCAAGGATTAGTGTCTAGTCGTTTGGATGGTACGAAAACCCGAGGTCAAAGTGGTTCCCTGTTGGCAGTGGTGAAGTATGGAAGGCCTAGCAAGGATCTGTGTCTAGTCGTTTCGATGGGACGAAAAACGCCCGTCCCCTCGTCCATGGTACAAGGATTAGTGCCTAGTCGCTTGGATGGTATGCAAAACAGAGGTACCCGTTCTCTCCCTTTGTCTGTGGTTCTTGACCGAAGGCCCGACAACTAACTTTGCGTGCAGTTTTTTAGGTAGGACGATAAATCGAAATCCTGTGTGCATATTGGCGTGCACGAAAAATAACCCTTTGCATTTGGAATTTTATGCACCCACCCCACCCTTGTTTTCACTACCTACATTGTAAAATTTGTTTGATTTCAGATGACTTAGCCCCGGTTTTTCACAGTGAAAGATTTTTTTCTGAAACTTGACATGCATGTTTATAACCCAAAGATATGGTTCCTTTCGATATTTGCGCATATCGAATCGTAACTTCATGAATTATGGTCCCTGATTGTAAGAAAAATCACTTTATATTTCGCGTGTTCTCTATCTATCTCTCGGAAATGGAATATGGAAATACACAAGCTAGCTAGTGTATTACAGGTTGGTGGTGGTGGGGATGAGGTCTTCTATTTGCAATGATTTTTTGACTACAAAATATACGCTCTAACTCATTACTCAAACTACAGCAAAAAAAAAGCGGAACGGAAACCCCATTTTATATATTCTTACAATAGCAACGCACTTCGGGATTAACTTAGAAATGGTTCCACTACTGATGTCTTCCGCCTTACTCCTGCCACAGTAGTGGCTTGTCCTACGGAGTTCCTTTCCGCAAGTTTTTTTTAGTCAAATGACTACAAAAAGGTTACTGGCCTATGTATAGCTCCCTTAATTTACACATAAACTGACCTAAAACTGCACTGCACATATAATAAACCAATTCCCATTGAAATAAAGGTGAAGCCGTAATGCATAATTATATGATTTGATGAAACCCAACTGCTACCTGAAGTTTCTCGCCTATCGAAGTTATAATATCCGCCGGTGTCATGGCGGCTCGCACATTATAAGAATCATTGCTTTGAAAATGTAGAACGCATTAACACAAAGAAAAACTGATGGGTAACTAGTTTAGTGGTCCAGTCTTCACTATAATTTGTGATAGAATTACTTATTTAAAAAAAACTGAATGATGTAAAAATAAAAATGGTTGGAGTGCCCAAGTTTAGATTTGTCGTTGATTTCATAAAGATGTTAGGATATAGAACGTTAAATACTGTGTGATTCAACATGGCGGCCGAGGGGTTTAATATGATATAAGTACGAAATACATGTACATGTAGTACCAAATGGTTTATATGTATGAGAGTCAAGGTTTGGACTAAATGTCTTGGGGAAGTAGGGGGCGACTAGCATGTGCCTCTCTTAGTGGACCGATGTGAGATTGCCCATTGTATTAACTGGACGGGTAGGCCTATTCACCTTCAGTTATGTGTCAATGTCAAATAAGCGGCTTCGTATCAACACGGTCGGCTCTGGGCCGGTTTAATTCTACATATCTCTCGTAGCTGAGAGAAAAAAGATTTTTTAGCCCAGAGAATATCTTCCGTCAGAGTGGTTGTTGATTCATAGATTCTAATAACCCCTTTTGAAGTTTATATGAAAGCTTTGATATCTGCTATGCAGATCTAGTTATTATTATTATTATTATATATAATATATTAGTGTGCCCTTTCATGTAACATGTTCAGGGACACTTACAAAGTGACAATGTAATCATATAAAAAAGGCCAAGATTATGGCCATTAATTAACAGATGTATACACACCTAAAAAGCCGCAATAAGAAAAGTAATTCTCATTTTCAAATCGGTTCAAATGTCTATCATTGCACCTGGTATTCTGTATAAGAATCTACTTAAAATTTCTTAAGGTGATATTGCGGACAACGCATCATGGTCTAAACAACGTTATATATAAAATAAGCCTTAAATCAATTGAACTCATTGTAAGGTGGAGCTGAATGCTTTCTGATATGGTTGGGTTGTTTGAGGTGCCAGGTATTCGTAAGTATAGAAGGCAACAAGTCTTGAAAAATGACTAGGTGTGAATTCGGGAGTATGTGGTTATTTGATCTGTTATATCATGGGGCAATTCTGTGATTGCATGAAAATGGCTACATTATAAGTTAAAAGTTCTGCAATGAGGATCATACGATTGATATAAGCGATGTAAATTTAGTGAAAGGCTATAGTAATTTTAGGTTAAATATATCATTTGTGTGTGAATTACCACTCTTGGGTTAGTTGTGTCGTATTTTTTATCAATATGGAAATTTCTATTTTATGCGAGTCTTTAGTTATATTCATGTAGCAGAAAATTATTTCTGGATTTTGCTGGATTTACTCTCTATATACCCGGGCATATACAAATTGGGCTCTGACTGCTGGGTATTTATTAATGACGACATTACATTCGCCTTTCCCTACGATATATTAAGGTCCATACTTTTATTTCAATAAATGCAACTTTATATATAAGTAACGTGACTATGGTATGCAATACAAGAGACGCATGAGAGAAACGTCGATCATATAGCAAACACACACGGCTATCTAAAGACATATCACCCCTAGTGTTAATTAACTCACCTCTCAATCAATTTCTCAATCTTGTTAATTAATGCACCTTATTTACAATTTTAATGTGGTAATGCCTAGTACTAATCGGGAAATTAATTTTCTTTCAATAGATGTACAGACAACATCCTAGACAGATTTCTATTGCATCCACGTACAGATCACCCTCTACTCAGTTCTCAGTGAATTAAGTGACTAACTTCGACTTAAGACTTCCTTTTAATACAGGCCCAGAACTAACGCTTTTATCTTACTATCTCTTTTAATACATTAAACAATATATTTCAATATTGTAGATAAAATTCTGTGATATATGTGAATTTTTAAATTGTTATATATTTCAGCATTATAGTGTGTAAACTAAACGCTGTGAATAAAAATAATACTTGTACTATAGAAGTAAATGTTTCTGAACATAGATCAGATTACAGAATCAGTGGATTTTCCAAAAGTCGAGTAAAATTTGAATATGTGGTAAATATATATGTATTAGTTGTATAATCCGACTTTTAAATATTTTGTAGTTTTGGGTTTTGTTTTTATACGCCCACATTGAAATGTGGTTGTATATTGACTTTGCCAGATCCATCATGATCAGCAAGTTCAGTGTGCTTTCTAATTGTTGGCTATGTTGGAATGATTTTATTTTGATAATAAAACCTATTTAATAGCCAAAAGGGAATATTTTGTTAATAAATAATTATTATAGGCCTTACTAATATTTTATTTCGTAGTCCAACTTCTACATTGTAAATTGGTATAGACGCATGAATTCATGATACGTATCATAAATAAAAAACATGAAATATTTTCCATGCATTATCAAAAATGACCGCCAGTAAAAATTTTGAAGTGGAAGCCCTGGTTGAGATCTTATGAGGACACTTCAGAACAATTTCTGGTGGACTGGAATCTGATAATGCTACTATAGTTATCATTAATGATTTATTATTATTATTATGTTACAGGAAGTGACACCATCTTTTAAACCTTTTCATGGTCCTGAATCAGGTGGAACAAAAATTACTATTACAGGACTAGATCTGGTAGTAAATGATAAAAGTGATATTAGTGTGGAAATTTATAATATCTCATGTAATATTTTACAGTAAGTGAATATTATAAAAATATGATATGTAGAGATTTGTGTGTAGATAGGAAATACATATATATAAAGGTTCTGTTATCTGTTTGTCAAATATCTTTTACAGAAGAATTGGTTTAATATTGTTTATTTTGAAGGAATAGTACCAAATATTTCAGCTGCGGTTAATGCATGCTACTGTTCAACAAAAGTAAAAATGGTTTAGATTTGTCGTTGATTCCATAAAGTAGTAAGGTTTTTAAACTTTAAATACTATGTAATTCAACAAGGTCTGGAAATCGGCGAGCAGGTTTTATGTACAAATAACTATACCAGCTTTACAAACGAATTGAATACAAATTACACTATGTTTTGACATAATCAGAATAGTTGGTGCCACTGATGGCTCATAAAATTATATATAACAAGAAATAATGATACCGTTTTTTTATGCCCTCCAACCGCTTTTAACCACACTACGAAAAACTTCTTCTTCGCTAACAATCATGGCGCCTCTGCGTTCAAAGCACACTGGATACACTAGACCAACATCAGTAGAATGAGACCGCCAATGAAATGACATCAGTATAATTCTATGCTAAATTAGGCAAATCAAACCATTAATTTAGTGGACTCACTCTAAATGTATTCAACAAATACTGCCTTGGTAATCAAATATACAAAATAAGATTAACAATCACAGAGATTGCAGCAGTGAGATCTCAAGAGAACTTTCACATTAAGATCATAATATAATATTATTTGGGCACTCAAAATAAGAGATAAGAGTGGCTGTGAAGACATGGTTATCGCCCCACGTGTCAGTGACTAGTTTCATTCGTATTGAACTCTTCAGACTGATTAGAACAATCTACCTCAAAATATTAGTACCTGTTCATCGTTATTCTTAGAGACTTTTAATTTAAAGTTTATGCATTAATGAAATTTATAAGATTTTAAGTAAATTTCAATGTTGCTGTAAAAGATGTCACTTCTAGTGTCGTCGCCCTGTCCGTCCGGCCACAATTTGTTTGTGGACACTCTACAGGTCACAATTTTTATCTGATTTTGACAAAACTTGAAATGTAGGTTTGTCGCCCAAAGCTCTTGGTTCCTTTCGAAATTGGCATGTTCGGAACGTAACTTCATTGATTATGGCCCCTGATTGCACAAAAAGTCACATTTTTAGCCTGTGGACACTCTAGAGGTCACAATTTTGATCTAATTTTGATGAAACTTAAAATATATGGTTATGTCCCAAAGATCTCAGTTCCTTTCAATATTAGCACATATCAGACCAAAGCATCCTGGATTATGGCCCCTGGTTCTACAAAAAATCCTGATTTTAGCTTGTGAACCATCTAGAGATCAAAATTTTTATCTGATTTAAAAACACGTTCAAACATATCACCACTACAACATAATAATGGTTGAGTCAAAATTTTGTGAAAATTGTACACAAACTGTTTTATAAAATGGCCGCTCCTTGTAAGCAAATAGTGTAAAAGGTTTTGGACCTTCTTATATAAGGTCACAAACTTTATGAAACTGGAAATATATGTTTATGCCCCAGAAATTTAGGTTCCTCTCAAGACTTGCACTTATCGCACCGTAACTTTTTTTTAGCTTGTTCTCTGTCCATCTCTTGCAAAATGTAGGCATATCTTACGTGGCAACCGCTTGTTTTATTCTTACAATATCATTTTGCAATATTTTAAAAGATTATTAATTGTTTTATTTTAACAGGAAAAATAAGGTAGGCCTACTATGTAAAACAGGAAGATTTGAGAGGATGGATAATATAAGTTACAAAAGGGAAGATATTGTTTGTAGTAAACTAAAAATAACTATTAATGGTGGTACACTAACTACAAAAGAAGAATTCTGTTACATGGAAGATCCAACCATTACTGATTTAGGTCCGTTAAGAAGTATTAAAAGGTATTATCATTTTATGGTCTAATCATGTATATGTATTTTATATTTCTCCTCCAGTTCAGGAATAACTGTATTATTGATACTATTGTGATTGGTTGGTTCTAGATCAACCTACCAATCAAAATCTTTGATACAGAAAATTATCTAAATCTTTTGAAATATATTCGATACCAATTACAACTACCCAATGATTACCTGTAGACATGCGTAAACCAAACATACAATTGAAAAAATATTCAGTAGAAATCTTCAATTCTAAATAAGTTTCTGTATTAGTAGTTCTAGTTTGAATCTTCACCATTTACTTCATTTCGCATTATTCAAAAATAACTACCACATAGGTTGAGACTTTGAAAAATATTATGATTAAATGAAGTATTTATTTATCCAGTGGTGGTACGAAAGTTACAGTAACAGGAACTAATTTAGATGTTATATCTGAACCCAAAATAGAAATTGTTATGACAAACAGAAGTTATGTTGAGGTAAGTAGATTTATATAAAAGTTAAAAATTGACCAAAACATTGTGGTGACAAGATTTTACACTCATCAGTTATATGGAAACCTTGTAGAACAAGACAGTTTTATCATAATTAATAATCTCAAAAGAGATTTTACCAGCATACAAATTTAATATTAAGAATCAGCCATGCAATATATCAACAAATTCAGTTCAAATATACTATTCAAAAAAAGTAGGGGATATTTGATTTTGGGGGCATAATACTAAAATATGCAAATGACTACGAAAAAAGTCACTATAAAACCTAACAGAAGAAACATTTCCAGTTACATGTGACGCCCAAACGCACCAATAGCTACCGCATGGAATGCATGTGATGCTTGGGATCATCATGGGGGTCCAACCCAAGATTTGCACGACTCTGACTTTGAATGTTACAGTCATTGTGGCATTGAATTCCAGGGTGGAAACATCAGTTTAATTGTTTTAGTGACCAGAAAACAAATTTTGATATGCGTCGGCTTACCCAAAATGAAAGGTTACGTGCCCTTGGCATGCTACAGATCGGCACAACACAGGCGGTTGTGGCGCGGACGATGAATGTTTCTCAGTCTGTCATAAGCAGGCTATGGTCCAGATACCGTGATACACAATCTGTACAGGACAGACCACGCTCAGGTCGACCAAGGGCGACAACTCAAGCCCAGGATCGATTTATCCATACCTTGGCCTTGAGAAATCGTGTCATCACAGCAAATCAGATCAGCGCTCGTCTTCAAACAGACACTGGTGTGAGAGTGAGTGGCCAGACGATTAGGAATCGACTGCATAGGGGTCACCTTTGCGCCCGACGTCCTCGCGTGATCCCTTGTTTGAGAGATCATCACATTCAGGCAAGACGTCGTTGGTGTAGGGATCGTCAACACTGGGATAATCGACGCTGGAGCAATGTGATGTTTTCAGATGAGTCAAGGTTCACTGTTGATTTTTTGGACAGACGTAGGAGGGTGTGGCGTCGTCGAAACGAGCGCTTCCAAGACGTTAACGTCATCAGACATGATCGATTTGGGGGTGGTTCTGTTATGGTGTGGGGAGGCATCACTGTTGCTGGAAGAACGGCTTTACATGTTGTTGCAGGGCGTGTTACAGGCCAGTACTACCGGGACAACATCTTGGCAGTCCATGTTGTGCCGTTCGCACGACGTCATGGCCGCTGTTTCATCTTCCAGGATGACAATGCAAGATGTCACAGGGCCAGGATCGTTACAGGTTACCTCCCACAACAGAACATCACCACATTACCTTGGCCAGCACTGAGTCCCGACATCTCCCCCATCGAGCATGTCTGGGACATGCTTGGACAGAGGTTACGTCAACGTCAACAACGTCCTGCCAATGTCCAAGAACTTGCTGCTGCGTTGCAACAGGAATGGGACAATCTGGACCAAAATGACCTTAGACGTCTCATTAGGAGTATGCCACGTCGGATCAATGCTTGTTTGGCAAGCAGAGGAGGATTTACCCGTTACTGACTTGGTTGTGATGCTGTGGTAACTTTGCTGTTTGACCCCGGGTATCATTTTACCCTTATAATGGTCAGTCTGTGCCTTACTTAGTCTAACGATCATTTGGAATAAATCGATGAATGTGAACTTCATTTCATTTTGTCATTTGTTTCTTCGTCAGTTTCATTAGGTTACTTTAATAACACTTAAAAATCAAATATCCCCTACTTTTTTTGAATAGTATAGATACAAAAATAAAACCAAGGACTTACTTTTTTCTGTGCAGTACATATTGAAAGAATTTGTATTATGTTGATAAAAACAGATTGTATGATATTTACAATGGTAGATACCTACCATTATTTTGATATTGTCTTAACAAATATTTACTATATATATATATTTATTTTAAAGGAATGTAAAACAAACAGCGTTAATGGTACCTCTTTGATTTGTAAAACACCTAGAACTGAAGAAATATCTGATGATAAAGTTGATGCACATGTCAATTTCCAAATGGATGGTGTAGAAAAACTTAATAATTTCTCTAAATACAATCCAAATTCAAGTAGAATCATTATAAGTCCAGATCCTGAATTGAATTTGTATCTTAGTAAAAGAATCCAAAATACTATAGATAAAGATGTTGAAATCAGTGTAAGTAGTACTTACATCCCACTTCTACTCGTTGCCACTGGCAACGTTTGATAAAACTGTCCTGTTTAATTGCAATACATGCTTAAAAGTATCCGTGTATCAGAAATTTACAGAAAGTGTACTGATCATTTCTGATACACGGATACTTTTATAAGTAGCAGACGTTTAGTCCGACCCAGATCGCAATTGATAACGAGGCTCTAACCAATTTACATGAAACAACTAGTCAAAATCATAGTAACAAAACAAAATGGGGGGAACTACATGGCAGTTCAAAAACATATACAATGACATTAAATTAACATAACAACATATTACAAAAATCAATTATTATACATACCAATTGGCATCTATTTCATAATTTGGTTTGATTTATATTAATATGCAAAATATATTAACAGAACACAGTTTTTATAGGATACAATCACTGGTTTATTCTAAAAGCACGACGTTTCGACAAGTATCCTCTTATCGTTATCAAGCACAAATGACAATTTAGTAAACTTGTGGACAATATATATGAAATTAATAAGAAACCATCTGCATGGATTAAGATTAACAGTAATAGAAATAATCAAGGTGTAAAGGATATTTAACAATAACAACAAACATAACAAGGTAATTAGCTACTAATAAGCACTGATACTGCATGATTAGAGGGTTATTAACAGTTATGAAGCCCTTCAAAGGGTGGCATGTATGGACAGTGGGAAGTTGATAAAGCACAGGTAGTGAGGCCATATCCATGAAGTTAATTAAGATATGCATTATATAAGTACAACTATAACAATACACAATATGTACTAAGAAAAAAAGAACAAAAATCATCTAATAATATAAGGGACAGGTTGGGAGAATCTATAATATCGAACATTTATTAATGAGATGGGGAGGGGGCGGGGATTTTAGTACAACCAAAGATGGCTTAATAGTTAAATTATGTTGTGCATCTTAATAACATCATCATATGCCCTCGGGATGTAGAGCCCTAAGTCCCTATTGACTTCAGGTGAATGTCTTCTGATATTTATAGCTTCTAGGATCTTCCTGGTTTTCTTGATCTGTTGGTTGGCGGTTAGTATCTGGACCTCATTCCATTTAACTCTGTGTTGTGGGTGATTCTGGAGATGTTCCGCTATGGCTGAGTTATTAGTAGCGGCTTTGGACCTATGTTCCGTTATCCTTTTGTCAATGGGTCGTTTCGTTTCCCCGATATATGAAGCCTTGCAGGAACAAACCACTTGGTAGACGACTCCTTTGGGTTGGGTGGGGAGAATTGGTTGCAGCTTGCCGTTGGCTTTCAATATCTGTTTCAGGGTGGTCGGGACCGAAAATGTGGTGTCAATGTTTGATTTCTTAAGTAGGTTGCTCACTCTGTATGTTAAATTACCATAAAAGGGCAAGGTTATTCTGATGGGGGATTTTTCAGGTTTTTGATAATATTTCCTGGTGGTTTCGATATATGCAAAATATATAAATTAGAATATTGAATAATTATTTTAATTAATTGTGATGATAGAAGGCGCAGTTCTCTTGCTGGACACTTCACAGGCATTGAAAATAAGCAGGATGAAAAAAAAACGCCTAGAAAGTCATAAACTTTATTACAAATAAATTTCAACGGAAGAACCATCCGCCGATGCATACTTTCACCAGGAATGACCCACGTTTCGCATTTCCTTTACACTACATTTAATAATATCGCTGGGCCCCTCGACCAAAACTGTCCTGATATTCACCGATACACCTCGGAAAGTGTGCTAATAACTACTACATACAACTATATTATTAATCCTTTTGGTACTTGACTAAAAAATTGCAAATGCTGTTAGAATACTGTATCTCCTTTACTATGACATCATATATATAACGTCATGATATATTTTAAAACTATTATGTATCAAAGATTACATGCTATTTTGTAGAAAACTGAAAGAGCTTTTACATAAAATAAAAGTTATAGGTATTTATCAAATTTAGATATGCTGAGTTTTGTGATATGTATTTAATTTATTCTTCACATTTCACTAAAAATTTGAACCTCGCTCGTATTTAGAGCAAATTGACAGAAGTCACATGACTGAACATAGCATTAGTACATGAAAATGGCTGGAATTATTTTTAATTTTTTTGTTCATATTTTGTTGTCATCAAAAATATATCCGAAATGACTGATTGAAATAAAATTCTAGCTGATTGAAAATATATTTTACCATTGATGATTATGTATGGATTTTAGTTGTCTAAATATATAACTAACTGAAATGGTTTTTTATATTCCCACATTGAAATGTGGATGTTTTAGAGACCATAGTTATCATCTGATTGATTTTATATTTATACACTGTGTCTATGCCTCTATATAATCGTTTCGATTGACTTTAGATTGATACACAGAGTTTAAGGTCTTGAGACGAACAACTATATTGATTTTTGATAACATGAACAGATAGAGAGAGAAAATGGGGTTTAACGTCCACTTGACACAAACCAGGTCATTTTGGACTAACATGGTTCAATTTTATTTCAATAATTCGCTTACGCTTAGGGGTCTTTAGCAGTGGGAGGACCCTGAAAAAAACCACGAGGTTGGACAGGCGACCCTACTCCTTGTCACACACAACTGGGGAATCAAAACCACACCAGTCGACTCAATGGCAGATCTTATGATACAACACGCACGCGCTATCCAACCCCCCAATAACTTGAACAGCTAAATCCATGATATTAAATGATTTGTATACTAAACGTTAGCATGAGCCAAACAAATTCTAATGATTTTCTGATAATTACTTAATGAGTTGTTACTTTGAATCAGAATTTAGTGTATTATAAATGTTTCATTGCCGCCAAAAGTAAAAATATGCGACAACTCTTGTTGGCTGCCTGGACGATTTAGCTTCTGTGGGCGTATGTTTCGTTTCCTGCCAACCTATCTTTGAAGAAATGTGTGAATGGAACCTAATGTGATATATTAATAGGCGGGCAGCTTGCTGTCAAGGGGCAAATTATTTGCAGACCAAAATTATCTGCAGTTCAAACTGAGACAGTTTGTGCTGTAGTGATCAAGACTGCTATATTTCGTTTAATGAAATGATGTAGGGTTAAACATTCAACTTTTCTACTAAATTTAATTTTATTGGATGAGGAAATGTGCTTGGTTGCATTATTATATTATTTTATTATATTTGAAGGGATCAGGATTGAAACACTTGGACAATGATATTCAAGTTCAAATTGGAAAACTTGACTGTCCCGTTAAATGGTTAAGTGATACTGAAATTATTTGCCATCCAAACATCACCTATGAAGCTGTCAATCAGACTCATTTTAAAATTAAGGTAAAGAATTTTAAAAATATCTCTTTTAGTTGTTGATCAGAAATACTGTTAATGGACAATGTTGGTGTCCACCAATTTTTACATGTCTGTTTAGCATAGGGAATTTATTCTTCATCCTAACAGAAAGATAGATATGCAGTATCTAGCACATGTACAGGTAGGACTACTATTTTTTGAAAGAAAAATCAAGTGGAAAGTTGGACATACGACATTTATTTGAGTTATGGACTGGTTTATCCAACCAGTGCTTGTCTCCAACTCTGTTTCACAACTGAACCTTGATATTTCCTTGAAACATATCACAGAGCTCAGATAGTTGCTTGGGTCTAGAAAAAACTTTTTAGAAGAACTATCCACACAGAATTAATAAGTTTAATTCACAGAAATAGACGTTCTTTTTTTTTTACCAGATATTTTTATTTATAGAAGGGGTGTGCCTAATACATAGTGTTAAGCAAATCAAAGGCTTTTCCCTTATCAACATTGATGTCTGAAGTTGATGATGTCGACATTTTCCGTCCAATAAATATCGCGGTCATTTCCGCTACCGCTATTCCGTATACCATTAGTCATAAATGACCATGCTAACACCATGGGCTGATAGCAGTTCAGCGTTAACGGTGTTTAAAATATCTGCAAAATTATCGTTAATATTTCTGTTATTACAACGTAATTGATGACATATATTTCTGCTATTCCGTATATCGTGTACGGGTACTGTTAGCCATTATAGGCAATCCAACTTAACACATGGTGTTGTCAGTGAAGTTGACGAAAGGCAGGGCTTACGACAAGCATATTCATTGGTTTTATAAAGATAATGTCAATTGAGCACACCCTCAGTATATTGTAGGCCATTGGTATTGTCTTTTACAGTGACAGAGTTAAGGGGCAGGATTACAGTTAAACGTCTGTCATTAACATATTCAACCAATTCTTTCTCAATTACTTCTTTACTTCATTTCATGTCACTAATTCCCCTTCATAGCCCTCCAACGTCTCACGTTCGACTCACCCAAACCAAATTCAGCGTATATAATTACCCTCAACTTTTCTGTAACAATATAAGCGGTTCGTCTCATAGCCATTCTGAATAAATAATTTTTTTAGAATGGTGGAATGTTCACTGGTTGAGCAAAACTGTTTTAAGTTAACTAAAGTTTCCATACAATATGGATTCAGTAATTGATCCATTGTTATAATTTACCGGTATAGTTAATTATCTACCAGTTGTTAGTTTGTAGTTAACACAATCATTGTTTCTTTGATTGGTATTAAAAATGCTATTGTATTATGTTACTGATAGATCTAAATGGCTACAATCCAGGTATTGTCATGACGCTCGTAGTGGGTGGGTACATGAACACTATCTTTTGATTGGCAGTTGTTTGGATACGGTGAAGTAAACTAGAATTGTTGTTTCTCTTTTACCGGTAGCTGATCATGTTTCTACAGTTATTATTTCATTTGTTTATCATCAATACCTATTCATTTATCACAGCCAATTGCTAATGAATTTATCAGGATGTAATAGACGGCCATGTTTGTTGTGGGTGGAACTTTACCGACAATTTGACTACCATAGGAGTGCCAGAATTACCATTTAAAGTTATGCAATAATACAATTGAAAGTTATAATTAATATAAAGCCTGATGCAATTGAAAAAAATGTATACAGAGCTTTTTATTTCATAAAGAAATATATATATAGAGAGAGAGCTTGATACGGCTAAATATCGGTAATTATTATAACTGTAAACAATAGAATCTGGTCTAGTTACTGGAGATTGCACGTGGATTTGAGTCACTTATTGTATGGCACCTGTTTCACAAGACGCTGGAGAAGAGGTGAAACACCTCTGCTATACTTGCTCTGCGCCTTAAAGAGAACACTTTACTGGTTGAAAAGCTGAAACGCCATTTTGAACTATAAATCTGCCACTTATTCAGTAGGCCCTGTAAGCCCTTTTCACTAGGACTAACTATGGCGATATCATAAGCTTGTGTTGGACAGCTACAAATGCTCTAGTACAAATGATCCTTTCGAAGAACTAGATAGATCATCAAGCAGCTGGTTAACATAAAGGAGGTAAAACTTTGCTGATAACACACTGCCCTGTCGTGTTCCACGTAAGACACACTTACGGGAGTAAGCTTGTCTGGATCTGACACTACTAATCATACTCTTGTACATAGATTCCAAAGAGAGGAGGGAGTTTTTGTGTTGTAAAGTTTAAAAAGCAGGCTGTCATACCACACAGAATCAAAAGCTTTAGTACAATCCAAAAATGCCACAAGGATATCAGTTGAATGTTCGTGGAAATAATTGACAGTTTGACGACAAACCTTTTCAATAGGCAACATGCAGAGGAACACTGTTCTTAAATGACTGTTTTTTGTTGGCTTTAGCTGATTGATGTTTTTTCTAGCGGATTGGTAAAACAATGAACCGGCCACTATGATCAATCTACTTTTGGCCAAATTACAATGTGTTAATTATTACTTGTTAATTAAGAAGTCAATCAACTTGCTAGTCGGCTACAACAACAGTCATACCCTAGTAAGAATCAACCATGTGGTTCATAATCCTACTTTCCTAGTTATTAACACGGTAATTTTGTTAATCTGGTAAAAAAAAAACAAACAAGCTTGCTGATTATTCATAACAGGGTTAGTAAGCTAATAATCCATGTGGCAAAAAAGACAATCTCGGCATGGTTTTCCAATCGAGTGTCTTCCACTCTCCGTATGAATTCCATCTAACGGTACATGTTAAAATAATAACTAGTTCATACATTAATGGATTTACTGACCAGTTGTTAGGTAAATTTAAATCTTCATTGAATATAATCCCAAGATAGAATACCGAATACACCGAGAAATAGTCATAATAAAAATATATTTTCCCGAGAAAATCTTTATTGACATGTGACATATCAGTTGGAATTAGGTCGATAAACCAGTTTACCATTTTCAAAAGGTGTAGGCCTACCTATTTGTCATTATTTTTGTTGTAATCCCATAAATTAGAATACGACATTCTCCATAACAAATTACCAAGAATTATATTAAAGGGAATGGAAGTTTATAATTGACCCATTTCCAACCGGGACCTCATTTGACCCAATTCCGGCCAGTTCGTTTTAAAATGTTCAAAATGAGTTAAGAACTCTGAGAGAAAGGATTGGGTATACTTTATCTATAAATGGTATGATCGAAATACCTCGGCCCTTGTTACCAACTTTAAAAATTGGAATGATGAAACTTAAAGGATGCAGGAACTATTCTGACTTTCAAAACAGCATTAAAGAGATTCGCTAATTGGTGGTAAAGTGTGTGGCCACCATATTTTGAATGTTCTTATGTAATTCCGTCAATATCCAGTGCTTTATTATTCTTTAACAAGTAACAGATTTTGCTTATTTCGTGTGTGGTAGTAAGCATGTGCTAAATACTGAATATTTCACTGTTCAGAAGCACCAATTCAATCAATTGATTAATAGTTATCTACAATTGTGAATAAAAAGATACTAATAAATATATTTTTATATATATAGGTTAAAGTTGGCAATCTTCAAGTTACCATTGGTACGATTCAAGTAGAAAAAACCAAAGAGAATGAAAATTTTCGTAATTATTTATGGATAATTATTGGTTGTATATCTGTAATTCTTATTACAGTAATAGGACTGAGAGTGTATTGTGCTGTACGTTATAACAAATCTAGTCGAGATAACGATAGAAATGGCTTCCATGAAATGTCTGAAAGTAAGTGGGCTTAAAGTACTTTAATATTGTATATATTTCATATCCATTGGTTGATGTAGAGGGAGACGGACCTGACTGTGACCCCCGCCTTTAGCTGGCAAAATAACAATTAAAACAATTAGGTGAATGTTCTAAATGCTTTTTATCGTAACGAAAATTCACCTTAAAAGACACACTAAACATTTTCTTTCAAAATAAATGTAAATTGAAATGCAGTGACATGTTAGGACCATAACGACACTATCGACTGCCTCTTCCAAGATTATCTGCCCCTTTCAACTAGCCTTGTACCTTTATATAGTATATTGATCAGATATAATGAATTATATTATGTGATGTGTATATTAAAGACAAATTGGTAAAGATATTTATTCTGTAGGTGGTAAGATATCAATAATAGTACTGTACAGGTTGGGTCATTCTATAGGTTGTTAAGACATTGATAATAGTACTACTAAACAGGTTATTGTCCCCCGCCTTTCGAAGAAAGCAGGGGACTATTAAAATGGGTTCGTCCGTCTGTCTGTCCGTCTGTCCGTCTGTCTGTCCGTCACACTTTTTGGGACACAATAACTCTCTTCCTAATTGAGCTAGAATGTTCAAACTTGGTGTATGTGTTTATTAGGTCAATGCCTTGATGGAGTTCGAAGATGAGCATTTTCCGCTTAGGGTAAGCAGAGATAAGCAATTTGATTGGTTGATGCTTTGGGACACGATAACTCTCTTCCTAATTGGGCTAGAATGTTCAAACCTGGTGTATGTGTTGATTAGGTCAATGCCTTGATGGAGTTCGAAGATGAGCATTTTCCGCTTAGGGTAAGCAGAGATAAGCAATTTGATTGGTTGATGCTTTGGGACACGATAACTTTTAATTGAGCTAGAATGTTCAAACTTGGTGTATGTGTTTATTAGGTCAATGCCTTGATGGAGTTCGAAGATGAGCATTTTCCGCTTAGGGTAAGCAGAGATAAGCAATTTGATTGGTTGATACTTTGGGGCACGATAACTCTCTTCCTAATTGAGCTAGAATGTTCAAACTTGGTGTATGTGTTGATTAGGTCAATGCCTTGATGGAGTTCGAAGATGAGCATTTTCCGCTTAGGGTAAGCAGAGATAAGCAATTTGATTGGTTGATGCTTTGGGACACGATAACTTTAGTTCTAATTAAGTGAGATTGATGAAACTTGGTGTATAGTTTCATTACAGTAATACCTTGTTATCTAAATTATCCCCCTTTGGTGATACAGTTTTTAGCATATAAACTAGATAATAATTATTCGGTTGACACACAATCAACGGCATAGAATACACGATGGCACAAGCTATAATAATTATTGATATAAAATATTATTTTATCGCAATTTAGCTGATATATAACTGGATAGCCCTCATAAATAAGTAGTGGAAGGAGGGAATCGATTTTCATATTCCGTTTTCCTGCAAATGTTATTTAACTTCTTTATTATATAATATTTGTATTTTTGTCCCCCGCCTTTCGAAGAAAGCAGGGGACTATTAAAATCGGTGTGTCTGTCCGTCCGTCACACTTTTTGGGACACAATAACTCTCTCTAACTGAGCCAGAATGTTCAAACTTGGTGTAGGTGTTTATTAGGTCAATGCCTTGATGGAGTTCAAAGATGAGCATTTTCTGCTTAGTGTAAGCAGAGATAAGCAATTTGATTGGTTGATGCTTTGGGACACGATAACTTTAGTTCTAATTAAGTGAGAGTGATGAAACTTGGTGTATAGCTTCATTACATCAATACCTTGACTAAGTTCGATAATGAGCATTTTCTGCTTAGGGTAAGCAGAGCGATAAGCAATTTGATTGGCCGAGACTTTGGAACACAATAACTCCCCTTCTAATTGAGGTAGAATGTTCAAACTTGGTGTAGGTGTTAATTAGGTCAATGTCTTGATGGAGTTCGAACATGAGCATTTTGTGCTTAGGTTAAGCAGAGATATGCAATTTGATTGGTCAAGATTTTGGAACACAATAACTCTCATTCTAGTTGAGTTAGAATGTTCACACTTGGCGTAGGTGTCTGATAGGTGAATGCCTTGATGGAGATTGAAGATGAGAATTTTCTGCTTAGGGTAAGCAGGGATAAGCAATTTGATTGGTTGATGCTTTGGGACACGATAACTTTAGTTCGAATTAAGTGAGAGTGAGGACACTTGGTGTATAGCTTTATTACATCAATACCTTGACTTAGTTCTATAATGAATATTCTCTGCTGTCATGTCATGGCTGAGTTCAATGATTTACATTAGTCGATGCTTTGGGACAAGATAACTTTGATTCTATCTGATGGAGAGTGCTGAAACTTAGTGTATAGTTTGATTGCTCGATACTTTTGAAAAAAATAAATGTGCGATTAATAAATATGTGTCATCTATTTATTTTTGGATTTCGGCGGGGGACATCAGCCTCACTGTTGGCTTGTTCTATACAGTGAATGTCTATAGTGATGAGTTAATCTATTTCAAAAAGTCACACAGGGGTCTTTAGCAGTGGGAGAAAACATGAGAAAACCCACAAAATTAAGTGGACGACCTTACTCCTTGTGACACATTATTCTGTTGGCCACCCAGCTCTTACATCAGAAGCGCATAGTTTATGTTGAATGTATGTTACTAGAGGTGTTGAAATATTTTATAGGTGTCGGAGACAGCCAGTATGTTACTACTATAAGTGGGGTCCAGTTGGTAAAACGAGGAATGAATGCTAAAACATTGATAGCTATTGATGAATCTCAGTTACTTATCAATAAAGATACATTGATTATTGGTGAGGTCATTGGAACAGGTAAATTACTTACTTTTTATACGCCCACATTGAAATGTGATTGTATATTGTCGTCGCCCCTGTCCGTCCGGCATACACAATTGGTTGTGGAAGCTCTAAAGGCTAAAGTTAATATCAAATTGACTTTGAAATTATACACAGTGTTTAAGGTCATGAGATGAGTTATGGCCCTTAACCACTTTGAAAAATCTTGTGGATGCTTTAAAGACCATAGATATCATCTGGATTGATTTTATATTTATACACCGTGGTTACGCCTATATATAATCGTTTCGATTGACTTTAGATTGACACACAGAGTTCAAGCTCTTGAGACGAACAAGTATATTGATTTTCAATGATTTTATGATAATTACTTAATGAGTTGTTACTCTTAATTAGATTTTATAGAGTATTATAAATGTTTCATTACCGACAAAGGTAAAAATTTGCAACAACTCTTCTTGACTGCGCAGACGATTTAGCTGCAGTGGGCGTTTGTTTCGTTGCCTGGCAACCTATCTTTATAACCAGATATCATTAGATCAAAAGAAAAACCAGAAGACAATATACTAAAACACAATTGTCTCCACAATTTGCCCACTTAACACATTCTTTCTACCAATCCAAGTTTTACCATTTCTATGTAAGGGGTAAAATCGTGACAACTACAATGTATATGCTTAAAAAAGTAGAACCTGATGGAAGAAAGATCAAAGCCGTCTCAGATATGAAATGTCACAAAAAAGCAAAAGATTGGAAATATTTTTCAGCTGTACTTAAATTTGTCCAGGTTTAATTATGTAAAATAAAGAGCAGCAGCATTTGGTGATAATTTGATTGGACGGATATTATATCATGTAAAATGATCAGATAACTAGCGCAAAAATACCAATTTATTTCTCTTGTAGGTAATTTTGGATGTGTATTTGAGGGATATTTAAATGAAGAAGGAGAAGAGCCAACAAAAGTTGCCATAAAGACACTCCAAGGTTTGATTCAAATTAGTCATGGAATATCTTTTTTAGAATATCAAATCTAACTTTCATCCTCTCATGTTTTACTTTATTATTTCTCATATAAATCTAGTAATCATAATAGAAATATTATTGTGAATTTGTAAATTTATAAAGAAATCCTCACCTTTTTTTTCTTTTTTTTACATAGAAAAAGATTTTGGGGAATTTAGTTTGAAAGATTTTGTAGAAGAAGCTTTGAGGATGAAAGATTTTGATCACCCACATGTTTTGCAACTATTGGGAATTAGTTTAAATAAAGATAGTTCTCCATTGGTTGTTCTACCTTATATGGGTAATGGGGATCTGCTTTCATTTGTTGCCAATGAAGAGAAGGTAAAGATTTTTCTTTTCAAAATAATGGAGGTTGTACAGGTGCCTGTGTAAATTTGTAGCCCTTGTTGATTATAGAAAATTAAAGTAAAATACAGTTGAATCTGTATTCAGCAGCCACTCAAGGGAATTTTCATGACTGACTGCTTAACAGGAGTGATCTCTTAATAAGATTTAATTGATAAATTTGTCGGTCGCTGAAACCGGCTATTGAAACAATAATTCTTTGACTCAAATCTTGGATATAAATTCTGTAAACGTGTCATTTTATACTGCCTACCTTTGTTATGTATTCGATAATTATTTATCCTTTTTTGTGAAGAAAATCCATGAATTATTTTTATTTTATCAAAAAAGCACATATCAAAAAAAACTAGCCAGCAGGAATGTCAACATTTTTAAAATTATTGTTTTATAGGAAATTAGTGTTGATGAGATAATAAGTTTTGCTCTAGATATAACTCGAGGTATGGAATATTTATCTGGATTAAAGATTGTACACAGAGATTTAGCTGCTAGAAACTGTATGTAAGTATGGAGAATGTTTATAAATCTAACATAGACCTTGTGATTATGATGCTGAATTTAAAAGAAAGTGTAATATCAGATAACAATTTACACATCTCACATACAAATGTCTTTCAACTAAAACAAATCTGATTCCTTATTATTAAGCCCATATTTATATTTTCCTGAATATTTTGTTAGCAGCTGTACACTGTAAAATCTGAGTAATTATGGGAGATATGCAATTTACCATAGCGACAGATGCCGACAAAAATATAGTACTATCAAATGCGATCAAAGCCCAAAGCCCATTTGTCATACATTGCGTATGTTATTAAAGACAAACAAAGTGATCATATCTTCTAGTCGCAGAAGAAGAAAGTGCAGGTTATTTAGCTTTTATTGTATAGATAGCTGATTAGATATCAAAATAATATTTGACAACAATTTTGGACATTTCATCAGTTTTTATACGCCCACATTTTCATGTGGACGTATATTGTTGTCGCCCCTGTCTGTTCGACCACATTTTCATGTGGACGTATATTGTCGTTGTTCCTGTCCATTTGTCCACAATTTGTTTGTGGACACTACACAGGTCACAATTTTTATCCAATTTTGACGAAATATAGGTTTATATCCCAAAGATCTCGATTCCTTTCAATATTGGCATGCATTGGACCGTAACTTCATGGATTATGGTCCCTGTACAAAAAATCACATTTCTAGCTTGTGGACACTCCAGAGGTCACAATTTTTATCTCGGTTCCTTGCGATATTGGCATGTAACTTCATGGATTATAGCCCCTGATTGTGAAAAAAATCGCATTTTTAACTTATGGACCGGCTAGAAGTCACAATTTGTATTTTTAAATACAAATTGTGACTTCTACTTAAACGTTTTTTAAAATTAGAATTTTAAAAAACGTTTAAGTATATCACCGTTAAACATCAATGATGGTTGAGTTCAAATTTCATAAAAATCTGACCGAAACTGCCTGACAAAATGGCTGCTTATTGTGCGCAAATAGTGCAAAAGTTTGTAATACCAAGGTTGTGGACCCTCTAGAAGTCACAATTTTTATCCGATTTTGATGAAACTTAAAATATATCTTTATATCCCAAATATCTCAGTCCCTTTCGATAATAGCGCATTTCAGACCATAACTTCCTGGATTGTGGCTTGTTCTCTATTCATCTGTTGCAAAATGTGGCCGTATCTTGACTGGCAACCACTGGTGGTTGTGGATAATCTACAGGTCACAATTTTTATCCTATTTTGACGAAAGTTGAAATATAGGTTTATATCCCAAAGATCTTAGTTCCTTGCGATGGCATGTAACTTCATGGATTATGGCCCCTGATTGTATGAACAATCATGTTTTTAGCTTGTGGTCACTTCAGAAGTCACAATTTTTATCTGATTTTAAAAATCGTTCCAATATATTACCATAGTGACAGCCCAACAAAATGTGTTTTATCTTTCAGGCTTGATACAAACATGCGCGTAAAAGTTGCAGATTTTGGACTAACAAGAGATGTATATGAGAAGGGATATTATCATAGTGATAATAAAAAAACTAAACTACCCATCAGATGGATGGCTTTAGAAAGTATAGAAAAGGGAAAATATAGTACTAAATCAGATGTGGTAAGATACATTATTTCTAATATTCCTGTCTAGTACAATATCTTACTGTAACAATAAAACATGCAATATTGGAAGCACATTTATAAACAGTAGCATATATAAACAGTACATATTTATAAACAGTAGCACATGTACATAAATGGTAGCACATGTACATAAATGGTAGCACATGTACATAAACAGTAGCATATATAAACAGTGCACACATATATAAACAGTTGCACATTTATAAAAAAATAGTACATATTTATAAACAATGTGTACTGTTTATATATGCTACTGTCATAGGCGTACGAGCTGGGGGGGGGGGGGCTAGCCGCCCCCCCCATTTTGGGCACCAAATGCTGGGAAAATTTGGGCACACAATTGTACTTTGTAAAAGTTGTATAAAATAATATTGCGTTCTTGAATGTGTCCAATTTAACAGCGAATTTATTATTATTATGTAACATACTAAGAACCTAACTACATTTTTTGGGCACCAACCAGTCAAAGATTTCCCCGTACGCCTATGGCTACTGTTTGTGTACATGTGCTACCATCTGTGTAAAAGGTAGATCTCCTAGGGATGAATGGAAATTTTCGAATCCTTGGTTTATAAATGTGTACTGTTTATATATGCTACTGTTTATGTACATGTGCTACGTGGGAGGAAACCAGAGGATCCGGGGGAAATCCCGCGAGGTTGGACAGGCGACCATACTCCTTGTCACGTACAACCCAAGGCAAGAAATTCACGCAAATCTCTGAATCTAATTCGCGCAAGGATTCTCGCAAGGATTCGCGTAAAAATTTTCAAAAACAAAACCCAAAAAAATCTTGGAGAATTGTCGAGTCCAAATTGAATGACAGTCAGGGTCAGTATTCATGATGGGGCTGTATTTTGTCGGCTTTAGCTGATTGATGTTTATTCAAGCCGATTGGTAAAACAATGAATCGGCCACTATGGTATCATAAATAATCAATCTACTTTTGGCTAAATTACAAAGGGTTGATTATTACTTGTTAAGTAAGAAGACAATCAACTTGCTTGTCGGCTACAACAACAGTCATACCTTAGTGAGAATCGGCTATATGTGGTTCATAATCTGAGTAATTAGCACATTTTACGGTGATTTTGATAATCCAGTAAAATAAACAAAACAAGCTTGCTGATTATTCTATAATAAGTTCAGTAAAATAAGCCACGTGGCCATTGAAGTCGGTCTCGGCATGGTTTCCAAATTGCACGGCTTCCACGCTCCGTCCGTGTGAATTCCAGGTACCGGTAGATAATAAAATAATAACTGGATAATGCATTGATGGATTCACGGAGAGAGAAACAGTGGATATTTTCCCAACCCAATCTACAGACCTGAATTCCAATGACACTTGACATATCGGTTGGAATTATGTCAATAAACCAGTTCTAAATAATAGTGTTTATTTTATGCACTACTGACAGAGGCTTAATTTCAAAAATATTATTGAAGGCTATATCATAGTCGTACAGAATTTTATTTTATAGCAATTTTAGTGTCATGTGATCATTGTGCTGTTTGTCTATCATCGACGAATGAATAAAAACTTTTGCAAGTTACGTGACTGTTATGTGATGGACAAAGGACTACAAATTGTGCTATGAAGAAATACCACGGCGTCGTATCCGCTTATTTTGGCAATGGCATTTTCTGATACTGGCAATAAACACAATTTTGTTTTTTTAGTCAGTATTATTAAGATTCGAAAGATTTGCGCAGATTGCATATATGAGAATCCTCTTAGATTCTCACAAAAAATGACGAATTTCTAGCCCTGCAACCGGAGATTCGAAGCACGCCAGTTGACTCAATGACAGACCTTATGATACAGCGCCGCACGTGCTAACCATTCGCGAGAAATTAATGACAATCTGTAATGTTTCAGTGGTCACTAGGTGTTGTTATATGGGAGTTATTTACAAGAGGTGTTACACCTTATCCTGGTGTAGAAGGATGGGATCTAAGCAGATATATTAGAGCTGGAAGACGATTGCCCAAACCCTGGTTTTGTCCGGATGATATGTAAGTTAAAACTCATCTATGTGTAAATTTACATTCTGTTTTCAAAGACATTTATTTTGTATTTATCTTTAGAAATATAGCTGAGATATTTATCTTTAAAGATATATACACCGTAACATTAATAAAAAAAAAAATCAGACCAATTAATAATTACTAAAAGAAAGGAAGAAAGACAACATAGCAAGCCAGAACATTATATTTTGTGCATTTCTCTGTCTTTATTCACTTTTGAAGATTCTGGGAATAGATATAAACATATCTTTGAATACAAATAATTGAAAACTCCAAATTAGTAAAATAAATCTGAAATAAAGTGCCTGCAGCATGTCTCATTTAGGTAGAGCTGATATTCAAACCTGGTGTAGGTGTTTATTAGGTCAATGTCTTGATGGAGTTCAAAGATGAGCATTTTCTGCTTAGGGTAAGCAGAGCTAAGCAATCTGATTGGTTGATGGTTTGGGGCACGAGTGAGATTGATGAAACTCTGAGTATAGATTCATTATATCATTACCTTGACTAAGTTAGATGATGAGAATTTTCTGCTTAGGCTAAGTAGCGATAAGCAATTTGATTGGTCAAGACTTTGGAACGTAACAAGTCTGCTTTTAATTGAGGTAAAATGTTTAAACTTGATGTAGATGTTCATTAGGTGAATGTCTTGACTGAGTTCAATGATTAACATTTTGAGCTAAAGCTAAGCTGAGCTAAGCAATTTCATTGGTCGATGCTTTGGGTCAAGATAACTTTGATTCTATCTGATAGAGAGTGATGAAACTTAGTGTATAGTTGATAATCAGTTTGCTTGCTTGATACTTTGAAAAAAATAAATGTGCGATTAATTAATATGTGTCATCTATTTATTTTGGGATTTCAGCGGGGGGACATCAGTCTCATTGTTGGCTTGTTTTATTACAGGTACGAGTTAATGTTAAAGTGTTGGGATATTAATGCCAATAATCGTCCAGATTTCTCTATAGTTACAACAGAACTATGTCAAATGGCTCAGGTTTATGAGGAAGTGAAACCACAATCGAAAACCTCAGAAGAATTAAAATCGCCATATGCAATGGTAGCAGATGCTTTGCCAGACTATACAAATATTCCATCAATCATAATTATAAAAACTCTTGTAAGCATTCCACAATGTTATCAGTATCATGATGATATTCCAGAACCACCCCGGACATACTTTCTCCTTGATTCTACTACTGACTAGTGGCTCTATTCTGATACCAAATATACTCTCTTAATCTTTATTTATTACAAATATTCACATTTAACAGGCATTAGTAACAACCAGAAAAGGCTAAATTATTGAAAACACAAGAAGATAACCTTTTCAAAAATGGTGTCATACTGTATTTCATGATTAAGGTTATATTGGAAGTTTGGTTCTTAACCAAAATTAATGACTTGTAACAAAATTAACTGTAATGTATTTATTTTAATTGTAAAGTGCCATTGAATGCATGTATTGCAGTAATGAGCGCTATATTGATGTATTTAGTTGTCACTGTACAAAATTTCATCACAGATTTTATGTAGAAATATGTTCATAAATTTAAAATACAATATACATGTTAAGTTAAATGGTTTCAATTTGGGGGGGTCACAGTGGCTACGTGGGTAAGATGCTGGCTCGCTAGCCTGGAGGTTGGGGGTTCGATCCCTGCATTGGCGAAGAAAGTTCACCCAGATTTTCCGGCATGGTTCCCCCTTGTCAGGGATGCAGGATGGAGGGCCTGAGGACAACTATCTAGTCATTCAGATGACACGAAAAACTGAGGGCCTGTGTAAATTGGCGTGCACGTAAAAGATCCGTTGACAGTTGGAATCCGCTTTAAGAGTAGCCGTAGTGCCGCTGTCAGGGCAAAATTTCCCTCATAGCATACCGTATATGGCATATGCCCGTCTTCATTTGCCCAGTTCAGAGCAAAACAGTAGGACATTAAACCCCATTTCATTTCATTTCAGTTTCAATTTGGTAATAAATAACTATAGCAAAAATTATTAATATGTGCTAGGTGACTCACTGTGTACTTTTAATACACCCACCCACAATCGGTCTGACCAAGTTTTCTTGTGAACTGTCTATACACAATGATGAACACTATCGGAAATATATGAACCTGCAGCGATTCAGTGATAAATTAATGAAATCTTGAATCTTCTTTCAGGGGCATATTTGCCAGTCTTTACTGACTGCCAATGAAATTGACTGTCTGGAGAACTTACCTGTCAGTCATTTTACATGTCATAAAATTACAATTTCTAAGAATTTAATCTTACAATACAATAATTACAATTATATATATGTTTTTTATACACCCAAATTGATCGTGGTCGTATATTGTTGTTGCCCCCGTCCATCTGTCGGTTCGCTGTCCACAATTGCTTGTGGACGCTCTAGAGGCGAAAGTTAATATCCGATTGACTTTAAATTTATACACTGTGTTTAAGGTCATGAGACGAAGACGCCTATTGATTTTCAACAATTTCCGATAATTACTGCCCTTGGCCCTTGATCACTTTGGAAAATCTTGTGGACGCTATAGAGGCTAAAGTTAATATCCGATTGACTTTAAATTTATACACAGTGTTTGAGGTCATGAGATAAAGAAGCCTAATGATTTTCAACAATTTCTGATTATTATTGTCAGAGTTGTGGCTCTTGATCACTTTGAAAAATCTTGTGGATGCTCTAGAGACAAAAGTTTATATCCGACTTACTTTAAATTTATACACAGTGTTTAAGGTCATCGGGTCATGATTTTATAATTATACACTATGTTTACGCCTATATATAATCGTTTCGATTGACTTTAGATTAATACACAGAGTTTAAGGTATTGAGACGAACAAGTATATTGATTTTCAATGATATTAATGTTTTGTCTACTAAACGTTAGCATGGGGCAAATAAATTCTAATGACTATTAATGAGTTGTTACTCTTAATCAGATTTTATAAATGTTTCATTACCGACAAAAGTAAAAAATATGCGACAACTCTTGTTGGCTGCCCGGACGATTTAGCTGCTGTGGGTGTATGTTTCATTGCCTGGCAACCTATCTTTTAATGTGAAATGCTAATAAATGGTGATATTCTTTGGAAAAAGATCTTCCTAATCTGAAATAAACAAAATACGCCAAAATTTGAACTGAATGTTCTGAAGAAAACTATAATGACATACATAAGCTTTTATTAATATTATGTATGATTTTAATGCTTTTATAAATGGTGCTTTTTATCTCAGTATAAGACTGTAAATATAGATTAGCAATGTGTAAATATATAAGTGAAATTGATATTAATAATGAGGTTTAAACAGATAAGTATTCCTACTATTGTTAAGTTTGAATTGTTTTTTGTTTAATAGTCTTATAATGTTACATGAAAAGTAAATATATATTTTAATTGTTTTATAGTGCAGCTGATTAAATTTTTGGTTAATTTAAATGGTTTTTTTTTGTAATCTTTTAGTGCTTTTATAGTAGATCATCTTAATTATTATGCAGTGTTTCCAGGCTGATATATGATTTAACTACATAGTTGCGATCATTTCATCTCAAATTGTCACTGCTTTTGACTGGACAACAACCAGTCACTGTGTAAGTGGTGAATGGCATTCTGGCTGTTGGCTTTTACAATTCACACAATGACTTACTGGAAATATTTGATGTATTCAAAGTGAAGTAAATCACATTATTATGCAGTATTTTAGTACATCAATGTATAAAATCAGAAAAATTATTTCCCATCATTTTTATACACCCACATTTTCATGTTGACTTTTTTGTCATCACCCTGTCTGGTCCGTGTGTCCGTTCACATTTGTTTGTGGACACTCTACAGGTAACAATTTTTATCCGATTTTGGCGAAACTTGAAATTTAGGTCTATCTCCCAAAGGATCTGTGTTTTAATCAGATTGGTATAATATTATCGGTCAGTTTAAAATCCTAATATATTACTATTTACATTATTAATTGAACTTTCGTCATCATGAAACACATGGCTTATTCTTGAAATATCACAAGTAAGTGACAGCCATGTATAAAGCAAATTTATATAAGCTGTTAGCTTGTTTTTATTCACCCACATTTTATATGTCCACAATCTGTTTGTGGACACTCTACAGGTCACAATTCTTATCCGATTTTCACGAAACTTCAAATAGCTGTTTATCTCTAAAAGAGCTTGGTTCCTTTCGATATTAGCATGTATCAGACCATAACTTAATGGATTATGGCCCCTGATTGTACGAAAAATCACATTTTTAGCTTGTGGACACTGTAGAGGTAACAATTTTCATCTGATTTTGATGGAACTCGAAATGCAGGTTTATAACCCAAAGATCTTGGTTTTTTTGTGATATTTGCACATATCAGATTGTAACTTCCTGGATTATGGCCCCTGTTTGTATGAAAAATCACGTTTTTAGCTCGTGGACACTTCAGAAGTCACAATTTTGATCCAATTTTAATAAAACATTTAAATTTATCACCGTTACACCCAAATGACAGTTGAGTTCCAATTTTTTGAAAACAAGACCAAAACTGCCTGACAAAATGGCGACACCTTGTACGCAAATAGTCATACCTAGATTGTGGACCTCTAGAAGTCACAATTGTTATCAGATTTTGATGAAACTTAAAATATAATATGTTTATGTCCCAAAGATCTCAGTTCCTTTTGCTATTTGTGCATATCAGATCAGTGGCCCCTGATTGTACGAAAAATCGAGATCTTAATTTTGTATCCGATTTTAAAAAACGTTTAAATATATCACCATTCCACCATAATAAAGGTTGAATTTGAATTTCGGGAAAATCAAAACGAAACTGCTCGACAATATGACCCCTCGTTTTACGCACTTCAGACCAGAACTTTCTGGATTATGGCCCCAGATTTTTCGAAAAACTGCTTTTGTTTTTAGATTGTTCTCTATCCATCTCTTGCAAAATGTGGGTGTATTTTGCCTGGCAACCGCTGGTTCAGATGTTCATAAGATTTGACAGAGTATATTTTTTAATTATGGAATTGTAATATATATGTATATAGATAACTTTGATTTTATAATATTATATTATAAATGTGTTATCTACCATGTGTGTTTAAATAGTAATATATTTTCTTTTTTTAATTATTTGTTTTTAAATTTATTTGCTTTAAAATTTCAATAACATCAGGATATATATTGTTTATAATTTTCTATATTTTTATATGCCCACATATAATGTGGGGGCACATACCACTATATTGTTGTCACCAGTGTGTTCAGGTCGGAGTTCTTTACAGATATTATGTAAACGCCCTGGGATTGTACATTAGAGTATAAGGAAGAACCCTATTAAATTTCAAACACATTTTCATTGTTACCCCAGTCATGTTTTGACTTTTAAAGTTTGTGAACACAATTAAAAAAATACAGAAGAAAGTTCTAAGTAAAAAAAAATTAGAATGTTATGAGATTCTTCATTTGGACATTATTGAAATTTAAAAAATTTGAATTGCTAATTACAAAGTTATACATCTGTTTATATTCAAAGTAATGAAATTATATGATTATGATACAAGTCAGAGTTCTAGATAGACTTTTTTAAAACTTGGTGAGATTAAACAAAAGAAATCTATCAGGTTTTATTTTACTATAGTTATCTTTTCATTCACATTTTAATTGTTTTAAAACTTATCTTGTGAAATTTTTTAACAATGATTTTAGAGGTAGCACTGATGATTTGCTGCTGATGGATATAAGGGGACCTGACAAGCCCCAGTCTTATGTTTTCTATTTGCAGTGAAAGATTTATTTTCCAATTATCTTGCTATTGACTGTATGCTATTGAAAGGCAAAAAATAAAATAAATAAAACTTAAGAGTCAAAATAGTTTATGTATAAATGGGACCATGACACAGAACTTTTACCAAGAACATTAGTAAAACAACACCGAGCTCAAGAAGGGTTACTGATCATAAAAGAAATGTTCTTGGGTAATGCAGAGAGGGTAATCATAAGTGAAATTAAATGGGGTTCAACATCCTAATGTTCTGCACTGACTGTACTAATGAAGACGGGCATACGCCATACAGTGTGCTATGAGGGAAATTTTCCCTGACAACAGCACTACAGCCTACTCATATCAATGACAAGGGGGAACATGCCAGAAAACTCTCAGTCAACACAGGGATTGAACACAGGACCTCCAGGTTAACGAGCTAACTTCTTATTCACTGAGCCACCGTGGCTCCCTGATCATAAAAGGAAATGACAAGCCAGTTGTTAAAATCTGGCTGCTTACCAAATAGCATTTTCTATATCCTAATAGTCATCTGCTTATCTCATTGAGTCAATGATATTGTTACTTCAATTCATCTACTGTGTCTATGTAAATATTCACACTTTTGTAAGGATAATTGAAGGTCTCGTTTTGCAATTTGGTTTCACTCTCCTTAGCCTGAGCAGAAAATGCTAATGACTGGTTTTAGTTATGGTATTGATGTAATAGACCTATAACTAAACTACTTAAAAATTCCTACAAACAACATTTTACAGGATGTCATCCCTTTGTTCCACAAAACAACTTTCATAAGTATTGACATCTATACTAACGGCACTTATTAGATGGTGTTCAAACATACTGTGACAAAATATACTCTGGTATTGACATAAATCAAATGTGGATCTTAAAAAATTCCAAAGAATTACTTGATGGTTTGCAATCTTGATCACTTGCTTCAGTCTCATCTATACAAACATTTGACTTATTTACCTTGTATACTAAAATTCCTCATAGTGAATTAAAAGCTAGATTAAAAGGTAAATATTATTCACAATGTCTTTTCATCTAAATCGGGAACTGTTAGATATGAATATCTAGTTGTTAATTACAATTCCACGTGTTTTGTTAAGAACCATAGTAATTCCACAAATAAGTACACCAACAAGATAATTCTTAATTGATAATATCTTTGTTGAATTTAGAGGAGAAATATATATCAGCAAGTGGTAGGAATCCCCATGGGCACCAACTGCGCACTTTTGCTTTGCTTGCTGATTTATTGTTTCTGTATTCTTACAGAGCCGATAAAAAAAACAGGTACTGGTAAAAATAAATAAACCATTAGTCAGACGTTTTAATTTCAAAATATCGATGATGTTCTATCACTATGAATAATCCTAAATTTAGTGATTATTTAGAATTGATATATCCTGATAAGCTCGATATTAAAAACACTACTGACAGTGACAATTACGCTTTCTATACTTGGATCTGCGTTTCGATTTTACCGAGTGTTAAATTATACGGTAAACGTGATCACTGAATTTCCGATTGTCAACTTTCCATTTATTAGTAGTAATATTCCACTATCACCAGTTTACGAAGTGTATGTGTCTCAGTTCGATACGTGAGAGCTTGTTCCTTTTATTCTGAATTTTACCGATATTTCGTCTAATAGTTTGGATGCAGCTATGGCGGGTGTAGCGCCAGAGAGGGTAAGCTTAGGCCACTCTTCCGGACACCTGTTACCACTGTTCATCATGTATTTTGTACTTGGTGAACAGTCCATTTGCTGATGACACTATTTTGCTGATACCGTTTTTTAGGATTTCGAATTTTGTCGAATCGTTTCGATTGTTCGTACTTGGTTTTATTTTATCACTCTCCCCCAATTAAAATCAAGGTTTTCATGATCTACATGTAAATTCTGAGCCTAGCTACAAAATTGTTTATGTCCGCTAAGTCAAGGCACCTCATAAACACAAGGTTTAAACATTCTACCTCGGTTAAAAAGGGGGTTATTTATTATTATTAATCATCTCCTATAGCACTCCATTATATCCGTTGATATTTCTAAGCGCTTCATTATCTGCTGATATGTCTAAGCCTTTACAAATGTCACATCACAGTTTGTAGTAATATTTAAACAATCGTATTTTTAACTCTGATTTAAATTTAACAAAAGTTGAACTTTCACTGATTGTTCTTTGTACTTTGGTCTCTTAGCACAGATAATAAAGTAGTAACTGTAGACGAACAAATAAATATTTGGTCTTTCCTGTAGAAGGTCAATAATTGTTTCATGTAGGCGTATAAAAATGGGCTCAATCTTCAACTGTATGCATATAACAGGGTATTGTTGGCATATTCTTAGATATGGGGGACAATTTTGTATCTGCCCATTTCAATTTGAGGTTAGTGTGGTCAAAGCTATTTTAAAAATTGTATATGTGTTATAGAGGTAGTCTATGGGAGTTTAATACTAGAGTTAGCTATTTTAAAGTAACGGGTTAGATTCTTTCATGCCAGATTGATTTAATCTTTTACAATAGAGTAATATATCTAGAGGGAAAATGCCGAGCTCGGCAAGGCAACCCAAGATGACTTGGCAACTAGTCGAGCGAGCACAGTTATTATGTACAACTTGAAGACGGTTGAGGGAGAAATCCGGAATGCCAGCCAGGAGTCCATTGCGTTCTAAAGTCTGGACTAACAAAATTCCCCTCATAGCACACTGTCTAGGCATAGGGTATGCTCGTCCTCATTAGCCCAACTCAAAGCCCAGCTTAGGCATGTGCCTGAGGGGCCCCAGGTCCATGGCCCTGCGGTTTAATAGGGGGCCCGCGGTTCATGGCAAAAAGAGAAAAAAAATCAAATTCCAGATGAAAGTTTCACGGTAATCGATCTGGCGATCTGTGAAGTTATATGCCATTTCAGCGCATTGTATGTCATTCGATATTATGTAATCGGTTAATATGTAATTATTATTGTATTACAGACCGTTTAATTGTGTGTTACGCGTGTGTGCCATTCAAAATGATATGGAATAATCTTTTCGTCGCGTTAGACACCATTTCATAGAAGCAGATTTATTGAATTCCAAGAAATTTGAGGGGTGCTATTTCGGTCATTTATATGCCAAAGATGTCCTACGCCGAATGTTAAACGTCCGACCGGGAAAATGCCATGAATCATATTAAAAATTCCAAATAATACTGACTGTATGAGAGTTTACCTATAACGGTTAGTGATCAACCCGATTGTCGTGTTATAAACCTACCTCGATTGATTACTTGGCTGGCTTTACGTGCCAGCCAAAAATGTACACCGAACCTTGTTTGTTGTACCATCCGAACGAATTACGCTGTACTTTGCCAGATCATCCGTCTTCGAAATCCTGGGGAACACTCTCAGCCAACACCGGGATCGAAACCGGAAAGTCTCTAAACCGGCAGTAACGTCAAATATTGTATAACATAATAGTAACATTGTATTATGTATTTAATTATGTATACACTCATTTGCAATATTTATATATATACAGATGTACATGGACTATTTACAATATTTATATGTACCTGGACTATTTGGGCGAGTTGTCTTAAATCTCATCTGTGCTGTAATTTCCTGAGCGAGGTATGTCGGAACCCCCGCTCTTCGTTCGGACCTCGTAACTTTCGGCACTCTGTCTTTTCATCCACCCCTGGAATAAGCACACTCCAAACAACATAATTACTATGGATTTGAAATTGCTCCTTTAAGATGAGCACTACCGCAACACGTCTACTAAATTTTGTTGAAATCTATCAAAAGTAGGCGATAACTAAAATGTTAACGGACGAACGACAGACAAGCTGATATATAGATATGAGATTTTAATTTATCACCCAATATTTTGAAACTAAAAGAGGAGCAAAATTGATATCGCATTTTGTGATTTTTCTAATATCAAATAGACGGTGTGTATGCTTTAAACTGCCTACGCCTACGTAAACTGCCTACGCTCCTTGAAATATCGTTTAAACAGAAAATCCCTAAATACCTTATATTCTTCATTCATTGACTATGCCGATGTTATTTGGGACGGATGCACAGGCTACTTATCTAATAATCTCGAATCCCTTCAGCTTGATGCACTACATTTGTGGGGCAGTTAAGGGTACTAGCCATGCTTCCCTCTACGCGGAAACTGGGTTTATTCCACTCAAAGAACGACGAAGTCGACACAAAGTAAAATTACTATACAAAATTATAAATAACCTTACACCTCCTTACCTTAAGAATCTCATAAATCTAGAACCAACAAATACATATTCATTTCGAAACGTAGATAAAATAAAAGAAATTCGATGTCGTACAGAAATATTTTCCAAATCATTTATCTCATCCAGCATAAGAGAGTGGAATAAACTCAGCCCCCCTGTAAGAAACTCAAGAACTCTTAAAATATTCTCCGATCATCTCTCCAAATCAGATATAAAAATTCCATCTTTTTATTATAACGGTCAGCGGAAACTCCAGAGATTTCATAGTAAACTTAGACTCCGATGTTCTGACCTACAGGGCCACAAATACCACAGACAAATATGTTGCTGACAGCCCCGCATGCCTCTGTGGTCACATTTTTGAAGACCCTGATCATTACCTCTTGCAATGCTCTTTATATTCAAATGCACGAAAGGAAACCATAGACAAACTACAATACGATCTCAAAAACATTAACTGTCTCCTGTTCGGGTCCTCAACCCACTGTATCGATGTAAACAACAGATTTGAATCTTGCTTACTAGTTGTTTAATTTACAATATTAATTTTAAATCTACTTAACAATGTAGCCTACAGTATATATTGTATATTCCAATCCGTCTCATTATATATGTATTTACACTCATGTGTTTGTCATTTTAACTGTGTATATACACCTATTTTGTTCCTTTTTAATACTATGTATGTATATTATCTAGGGAGGGTTTTTTTACATAGGTTAAGCATGTTCCCCAATCCCATTCAGACATCCTGAATAAAAATATTGTTTATAAAAAAAAAAAAAAAAAAAAAATCACGAAGAAACAAACACAACAAGACAGATGTCCTAT